AGCACAGGGGGATCAGCACAGGGGGATCAGCACAGGGGGATCAGCACGGTGTGGGGCCAGCCCTAGACACTCACGTCCACGAAGTAGGGCTTGGTGAACTCTGCCGCCAGCTGCCGCCGCCAGCTCTCCCCAAAGCCCGGAGGAACGTTGCGCTCGTTCAGCCGCCGCAGCGCCAACTCTTTGTTTCTGCGCATCCGCTCCAGCTGCTCAGGGCTCAGCGCTGAGGCCCTGCCCGCTTCATGATCCGAGGTCTTCTGCCTCTTAGCGGCATCGTCCTGCAAACGGCGAGAGAAAAGACCACTGCAGAGCGGGCGCAGAGAGGCGCGGCCCAGCCGCTTACCCAGCAGCAACCCTGAGACCGCCATGCCACAATCCGGCCCCCCCCCACAACACACGTGTTTTTCTCGCGGCAAAACAGCGACAGATCTGTCCCGATTGGTTACCGCGCCCTAAGAGGGCCCGCCCACAAGCGCGGCTCTGATCCCGCGCTCTCCCATTGGCCAGCGTAAAAACATCCCCTTATTTCTATTGGCTCTCGACGGGCGTAGTGTGCTAGTCTGCCTAGCAATCGTGACGTAAACAAGCCTACAACGCCTATTGGATGTCATTGGTTGCTCAGTCAGGCGTGCAGAACCGCGGGATTTTGGAAGCGGCTCCCAACGGCCGCTAGCACCTCACCCCCCACACAGGCACCGCGCCCCTTCAACAGCCAACCCCCAGCTCTCGGCAGCTCTTGCCAGCTCTCGGCAACCCCCTCCTCACCAGCCCCCAGTGCCCTGCGCAGCTCTCAGCCACCTCCAGCGTCCAGAATGCTCCTTTACCCCTACAGCCTCCACCACCCAGTTACCTCAGTACCACCGCCAGGCTCTGGAGAGCGGCTGCGTTTCCTCGGCGGTGCGGTGCTGAAGAAACAATGTAGCGTCTTCTGCCCGATCATAGCTGCAGCAGTGCCGGAGGGAGGACAATAGCAGCAGGACCGGCGCGAAAACGTGGTCGAAGGGGGCGGGGCCACGATTTGGCGCCAAAAGCTCGCGCAGGCGCCGGGGGCGGGGCCTGGTGTTGACAGAGGGCGGGGCTTAGGGAAGCGCGTCCGCACTGCTTCCGGTACGGAGGGGTTGAGGGATTCCCGCCTGCAGTCGCTCCCTCAGTGTGGGCCGCTCCTCAGCGCCCGCCCCGTACGGGTGCTGTCCCACGTATTACCCGCTTTGCGCATGGACAGATTCGTGGTTAAACGTTCTGCTGAGGAACCTGGGGGTGATGGCAAGAGGCCCCGGTTAGAGGAGGCGGTGGGCGGCCTGCCCCATCCCTCACAGCCCGGTCGGCAGATCCGCGCCCAAGGCCTGAGCCTCGAGTACCGCCTCCTCTTCGGCCGGGCCGAGGCTGACGAGGTCTTCCAGCAGCTGGAAAAGGAGGTGGAGTACTTCGAAGGTAAAGCAGCTGAGGGGGAGGGTCTGATCTTTGGAATCAGCGTGATTAGGTTGGAGGGGACCCCAAAGCCCCCCCAGCCCTGCCGTGTGCTGGCTGCCCCCAACTCAGGCTGCCCATCCATGGCCTCGGGCGCCTCTAGGGATGGGGCACCACAGCTCTGGGTAGCACTGCCACGGTCTCACTGCCCTCTGAATGAAGAGTACCGAGTTAATTTTGATCCATCTTGTTTAAACAGGTGAACAGACAAAGTTGCGTGTGTTTGGCAAATGGCATAACATCCCCAGGAAGCAGGTAACCTACGGAGACCCCGAGTTAACGTACACTTACTCAGGTGTCACCTTTTCTCCTAAGCCATGGATCCCAGTTCTCAACCACATCAGAGATCGCCTTGTTTTGGAAACGGGACACACTTTTAATTTTGTTGTTATTAACAGGTATGTCTGATTTCCAGTCACACAAAGCAGCTCATTCCTATTGCTTGGTGTACTGACAGATCACCAAGGAGTAGTTTGATATTCATTTTGCTGGACTGACAGGTGAACTAATTATTCTGTTTACAGATATAAAGACGGTGAGGACCACATAGGTGAACATCGAGATGATGAGAAGGAGCTGATTCCACGCAGCCCTATTGCATCAGTGTCCTTTGGAGCCTGCAGAGACTTCGTCTTCAGGCACTGTGATTCCAGAGGGAAGAATGCAACACGGCACATTAAGCCCATCATACTGCAGCTAGCCCATGGCAGCCTGCTGATGATAAAGTACCCCACTAATGTGTACTGGTACCACAGCGTGCCCATCCGCAAGAGAGTGCTTGCTCCAAGAATCAACCTGACATTTCGGAAAATGATGGTTGTTGACAAAAAAGCGAGATAGCAATGAAGCACCTGGACCATAGACCCTGAATACTGAAGTTTTCCTCCTCGATATAGCTGTCAGTTCCTCAATCAAGCGGTGTTTGATGATCCAAGGCATTAAAGTAGAAGATAGCGTGCTTGGTAACTTGCTAATAAATTCTGCAGCTACTGATCTTAAATGCCAGGAATGCTTTCAGTAAACAGTTGTTGATACACCACTTATTATCAAGTAATACTCTTGTTTTGGTCAGGATTAAATTTGTTCTCACCTAATCTTAATTAGAGCCACTTCCTTAGAAAGTCCAAAATATTGTTCATCCTTGAAATAGTGAGATAGTTTATAAATACCATAAAGCATGAGGTGTAATCGTTTAGAGTGAGCCTGTAAGCTGGTGGTATTGAGTGGGTGACACTTTCTTGGATGGTCTATCAGTGAGCTACAGCTTGCTTGGTTTTATCTAAATAAAACACAAATGAGACTGACATGAGAAGATGATTGCTAAGATATTAATGCAGTGACTGCAGTATGTTGTACAGTCACTATGATTTGTCTGCATCTATTTTCTCTGCTGCTTTACCTCCTCTGCTTGCGTGGGTTCTTGTGGGCAGCGGTGTGGTGGGACAGAAATACATCAGAGGCACCTCCTCTTCACTCAGTCCTCTGTGCAGAAACCAGGGAGCATAAGGTGACTTTCAGGGGAATATGTTTTATATGGGCAACACAGTGTGAAAAGCTATCACTTCTGAGAGTACCTGTTTTTCTAAACAATTATCCCTAGGGAATCCATTCTGAAAGCCGTTCCCATCCGTGCTCAATCCTACTGAAATGAGGAAAGAGTGTCCAAAGTGTCCACCAGGTCTTAAGGAATCAAGCAATGGTAAGTGCTGAGCAAAAATGCGAGTTGATCCCTGTGTAACCGTGCTTAGGAGCATGTGAATGAGTAGCCTGCAGTCTCTTGGGGCTGTGGAATTAACAGCAGTTCAGAAAAGCTGGAATTGGAAATTCTTATCCTCTGTATTTCCTGTGAAGAGCAGGGCTCTGCTGGGAACCTGGATCCCAGGAATGCACCTAGAGAAGGAGAAGTGCTGCTTCTATCAGATATACTGTGTATATATCTGATAGATTGGCCTTGAAGAAATCAGCAAATATGGACAGTTACTTTTTTTATTAAGTTCTTTTATTGCTACTGTACAGTTACAAAAAATACCCTGAAGTGAAAATGCAACTTCAAACAGCAGTGCGGTGCTGTGACTCTCACACTTTTTTAAAATAATACACAAAATAAAACAATTATCCAAACACAGAGATGTCATCCTAGAGGCCTTATCTGATGTTTGTAAGCTCCTGCATTTTATTAACAACTTTTCCATCACGAAAGCTTCTAACCAGTAACAATATTGGATGAAGCCCAGTGACTTCAAAAGGTGAAGATGGCAAATATCTGCAGAAGCCTTTGAGCTCGCAGTAGGCTGAGTGTCCAGCACAGGACTGGGCCTGAGGTTCTGTCACTTGCTTCCTTCCTCACACTAAGGGCTAAACCAAGGCTGCCTGCTCCTTCCCAGCATTAAAACCTACAACAAATGCTGACTGTTCAGCCCTCATCTCTGCAGCCTTTGAGGAAGGTTGCAGAGTGAACCTGCAGCTGAATGAAAGTGAGCAGGTTATCAGTGTCACGCAGTCATGCTTCCATTCTGATCAAACTGACCCGACAGAAAGCAGTTCTATGCAAAGTACTGAACGTGCAAGCTTGCAACGCTTTGGGGCTGACAAGTTTGAGACTGTTAGCCTGTGGTGTGCATATGTTCTGACACAGCTCCAGCATTACTGCTTCCTAAACAAAATTACCTGAAGAAGAACTTCACAAAACCTCTATGAACAGCCCCTACTGAGAACAGGCTTTGCAGAATATACGCTCTGGCTGGTGGAAATGTTTGGAAGCTTTCAGGTCAAATTGTAGCCCTGCTGGAACGACACGCTTTACAGAGCTTCTCCTGCACTCCCATGCTGCTCAGAACAGGGTTTTCCCCTCCTCTTACATTCTGCAAGTCTGTTAGATTTTATCTGAATGGCCAGGACATTTTTGGCATTTTGCAACCCTTTTTTTTTTCCCCCTCTTGTTGTTTTTCCCTAACTTAACATATAAAAGTTAAAACCATGCTACCAGTAGCCTAACCTAGACAGGGAGGTTTCTCACTAACTGGTATCTCTGTAGATTTATAAAGAGTGTTTTATGTATTATTACTTTGGAACAACGTGAGTGTAGTAAACAGATTCTTATGTACATCTATTATTATTTCAGCTGGCTCTGAGACTTCATTAAGGAACTGAATGCCTGAGAGCTTCAGGCAGTGATATGAATACATGAGGTACAAAGTTACCTAAAAAAAAAGCTATGAAGACAGTAATGATTTGAAAACTTAGTTGTTGTTTTACACTGAAAAATCTAGTCTGAGGAATGGGTCCTTTTCCTCCATGTTAGAATTATAGAAAAGAGCTAAAAACAGTCTACATATTTTATTCCTGATAATTTAAAAGCAGTCAAAAATAATTTTTCCTTCTCCATCCATGCTTTGAGATACTATTATTTTTAACACATTAGACAACCTAGAGCAGCAAAGTACAATTTATATGGAAATCTGCATGTCTAATGCAGAGACACCAGAATTTGCAGACTGCCTTACCAGACAAGTTGCCCATTGGTCCAGATTCAGTTCTGTATGCTCAAATTTTACAAGGATGCTTGGGTTGCTGTTTATCTCAGCTCACAGTCACAACCAGTATAAGCTCTAATGCTCAGCTGCAAGCCTGACAACATACATCCGAAAGGCTGATGACAAATGACAGTTTTTAGCATTAAAATAGGAAGGGCACATCTAGAACACCAATTACAATAGCCTTAAAGTTAATGGTATTAAAAGCTGTAGTCCTTACTACCAGCATTAGTATTCAACAGTTTGAGTGACCAAGAAAATTACAATATTGACAGCTAGCTCTAACTCTTCTGTCTTTCCATGTCACCTGTAGTGCAAAGATACAGAGCAATAAGTCAGGCGTCAGCTCTTAATTGGTAAAAGAATTTGATCTTTTCTCCTCGAAAAAGGAAACTGCTGCCTGAATCAGTAATTCCATGACATATAGAGAACTGAACTATTAGGAAGTGGGAAGGAAATTTTTTGGTCATGCATGTTCTGTAAGGAGGCCTTGTTTTATTCACTGGCTGGGATATCAGGAGAAATCTGCTGTCATTCTTTTCATCCCATCATCTTGAGACACCTCTCAGAACACAGCTGGCACGCAGTGGACTCAGACAATGGTAATCTGTTCAAATAGGCTCAAGGCACTTTGTTTCTCAAATCATTGCCTTTGATAACAGTAGCTTCCCAGCAACTGCTCCTGGGGCTCCCTTGTTCAGAAACGTCTGCACTGAAGTGTACAGGATTCCACATCTCCCCTTGAAAACATACATGTGTTCAGAATATGGAAATCAGCCTTGGAAAGTCTGTTTTGAGATGTCTGTCTCGGAGCTGTGATACTGACAGAATTGCTACTGAACAGAATAAATGCTCTTCTAATACAAATACACTTTGGACTGCACGACGTTAGCAGACCAACTTTGGGTAGCTTAATTTTGGTACAAAACTACTCCCAGCAAGAGCCAGCTGCTGCCATGGAGGGAGGGGAAAGTTAAAGGGCCTGTGGTGGATTATTTGCATAACAGACAGGAGGTGCAACGTGGATCTCAGCAGAGGAATTTGGTCAGTTTTTGTCCTCCTCCATCTCTCTTAATCACTCTTCAGGCCTCAACTCCAAACTCTGGTGCTGTACCCTTGAGTGAACACGCTCATAGAACAGCAGGTAAGCACTAGAGGCAAGGACCTCCTGCAAGCTAGCTTTGCGAACCGTATCGTCTGAAATCCATAGCCACTGATTGCTGACAGAGAGCGGGCTCTTGGGAGAAGGCGGAGAGCGGCGGTAAGTCACAAAGTGTCCAGAGTGCATGTCTCCATGGTGCACAACCACCGCCATCAGCCGGTACAGGTACACAGGGGGACTGAGAGAGAGGAGAGAAAGGGTCAGCAGACCTCGTGTGTCTCACATGGACCTAAGGAAGCTCCACTTGCTTTGTCTTTGCTTGCAATTTCTTTCCAGAGCAAGTAATTGTGTCTAAGAGACGTGCTGCAGTTACTGTGTGCAGTTGCTGTGCAATTACTTTTCGTTATTCTAAGTCTTTCTGTTATTTTAAGTGCACTGCAGTGCTGCCTGACTACTGAAGAAAGCAAACCATTCATTTTAAAGGTTTAATGCACCAGACAGCTATTACATCTTTCTTAAAAAGAGGTCAAATTATGGTGGGTAATCCATAGATAAAAACAGGTATACTTTAAGCTCTACAACTGTCTTCATAACAAATGTTTGGCACAGAGCGTTTGCTCGCTTCTCATTTCCCAAATATTGTGGGAAATGTGCTCCCCATGGGATGATAACCAACAGTTCTGTAACAGAACATTGGTCACAGGACTGAAAAGGGAACTTTCTCAAAAAACAAGTCATCATCATAAGCATCAAGACTGGATTTATTAAGTAGAATCATGGCAGCTGCAATTGAGATTGTTAAATAGAACTCTTACAGATTTTTTTTCCAATATAGTAAGGATTTCTTGCAGGAACTTAAAGAAACCTAACAACTCTCACAGGAACAGTTAAAAGTCAAAGAAGGAGTAGTAGGAAAAACAGCATGAGTGAGAATATGGCAATCCAGAAGGATGATTGCTGCACGCTGAACCAAAGAAAAGAGATTCCGAGTTCTCCCTGTAATAAGCTCAACTCCCTTTCTTAGAAGGAGAGAAATGGAGCCAAAGACAATCAGCAAGGAAAACAGAAAACAATTTTCTGCACAGGAACTAGGATAGATGTTAAGTTCTACGACTACACAGCCTTTTGGTAAAGACAATAAAGGAAAACATAACTCAAATGGATGGAAATACAAACAGGGTGCACATCTCACTTACCTGCACTCAGGGAATGCAGCGAGTGGGAAAGTTCCCGAGGACATTAAGAGTGGAGAGGAGCAGGCGCCATTCATAAGGAGAGATTTGGTACCACATGTCTGCTCTGCATCTGCAAAACAAAACAGGCACTGGTCATTTAACTTCAGTGCTGCCACAAGTATTGCTAACTGCTTCTGTTTCTACAGTGTCTGTCATCACAGAATGTGAAGGCAGTTCATTTTAATTCATTACGTATCACAGTCCCTTGATATCTAAAGGCAAGAGGTAAATACAGGTAAATACCTGAAGGTTTTACTGCTATCCCATCCCTTGTTCCAGGCTTTGTCTCTTCGGAGCTTTTCTGATTCAGATCATTCTGAGTTGATTTATGAACAGGAATGTGATATTTGTAGATGTCCATGATTAGGAACTCATTGAACTGTACATGTTCATGACGTTTCAGAGGAGTCCCTTGGTTTGACCAGCTCAGTCTTTGCAGATGGATACACAAACACTGAGGGAGCTTCAAAGTTCCATACAAAAGAGAAGTCAAAATACATTTTAAGTGAAGAGAAACAGCTGCTAAAAGCATTCTAATGGAACTAATAAGTCCAGTAGATAAGGAATTAAGTCACTGAACTGTTGTTCCTTTATGTGCTATTTCTGTATCTAAGCTTACTGCAATACTATTTCTGAGTCACAACTGTTCAGATTTCTAATAGTGCCACCTTGCTTGCTAGGCAGTAGGACAGAGCATGTTAATTACTGACTGCAAATGGGGGAAGGAAAAGAAAAATCACACACATTCCTAAAAAGCCCATCTCATTTTGCTTGATGATCTGCAAGGTAGAAATGAGCACTGGAATTTGTGTCAGTATGTTGCTGCCAGACATTTGCTAATATTCCATAAATAATGGCATCACACAGTAAGAGTACCCAGGGAAAAAAGGTCAAGGAGTTATAAATATCTGTCAGACAAAGTCATGCCGAGGCTGGCCTTTGTCAGTAAGGAAATGTTATTAGGAATGGCCCTGCTGTCCTCTGCATTATCTGATACAGAACAAGAAACTTGTAAGCACCTCCACTATGAACGTTTCCAGTTCTTTAGCACTGCGTTCTCTTGTTTAAACCTTCTGTAGTTAGAATATGTTAACTTTGAAATGCACAAATTATCCTACAAATAGGCTGTATATATCAACTGCTTTACTGACCAAGGGAATAAAAAAGTAACACAAGGCAAACAAACTGCACCTAAGCCAAACTCAAGTGTTTTGCTGAATAGCAGTGGAGTACTCACGTTCTTTAAGCTAAAGAG